ACCTTCGAAGTGGCCCTGATGTGAGCATGATGGAAACAGGGGAAGAATGGAGCTGGGGCTGTAGTTCACTTGCTTTAGTGCTTGCCTAGCACAGATGAGGTCGTGGGTTCCACCTCCAGCTCCATGTAAACTGGATGTAGTGGTGGATTCAGTAACCCAGCACTCGGGAGAGGACAGAGGAGTGCCTAAGCACTCGGGGTCATTTCTGTTGTATATTTGATGATATGAGATCCTAGAGGGAAGGAAGTGGGGTCTGACTTGGGGGCACAAAGAGGAGGAGAGTTGTGAAGAGTCAAGAAATCTGCTTTTGCCATGCAAGTTCCTGAGATACTTGTGGAAGTCCTGGTTTATGGATGATGACTAGAAAGTAGTATAGGTTTGTCTAGAGCTCACAGGAACGGTTGTAAACAAAGATATGAGCCTTGGGTACATTGCACAGAACTTCCTGCAGTGATGAAGATGGACTGTGTCTGCCCCATCCAGCAGGTGGCTGTTGAGCACTTGCATGGTGCAGCTGAGGAACTACATTTTATTTTCAGTTTAATTTTAATTTGAATAGCTACACATTGCTAGTGGCTACCATTCTGGATAGTGCTTGAGACAATATTTAAACCCGTGGTGCTAAATGACCTTGCTAGGAGGCGTGGACAGAAAAGGAAAGAACACCATAAAGACCGCTTACATTTATTTAGGGTTCTGACTGAGGAACAGAAGCCAACAGGGAGACAGAAATGGGGGCCAGCAGGAGGGAAATTAAAGCGACAGCCCACTCCACTTGGGAGGAAGAGTACCTTTCAGCATCCTCACTGCCTGTAGCCTTGCTCATTGCAACTGGGGCTAGAGTGAAGATGTGGGGTGAATTCATGGTGGTGACATAACATGCTGCCACAGATAAACTCTCAAACCTTAGCAGCTCACCCCAGTAAGCTGTTTCTCATTCATCAAACTCCAAATGGGACATTGTGACTGGAGTTACCATTCCTCCATATACTGAGCGACATAGGCTCCATCCTTCCTGTGACTGTGAGACCCTAGGCCTTCAGAGTTTTCTTCTGGGTCTCTACAGCTGCCCTCAGAAAAGAGAGTAAGGTTCAGGGTGAGTTTTTTTAGGTGAGCCTGGAAGAACTCAGTTGTACCCTAGACGAAGCCAGTGCTGCAGAAGGAAAGGGAGCCAGGCCTAGTTAGCAGCCATAGTGGAAGCTGTGATGCCACTGGCTCAGGCAACTGTGGTCGGCTCACTGGTCCTCCCTGTTTCCGCAGGAGAAGGGCTCCACCTTCCTGCAGCTCGGCTCCTCCACAGAGCAGCAGCTGCAGGTCATTTTTGAGGTGCTGGAGGAGTATGACTGGACATCCTTTGTGGCAGTGACCACGCGTGCCCCAGGCCATCGGGCCTTCTTGTCATACATCGAGGTGCTGACTGATGGCAGCCTAGTGGGCTGGGAGCATCGAGGAGCGCTGACACTGGACCCGGGGGCTGGTGAGGCCGTCCTGGGCGCACAGCTCCGAAGTGTCAGCGCTCAAATCCGCCTGCTCTTCTGCGCCCGCGAGGAGGCTGAGCCTGTTTTCCGGGCAGCAGAGGAGGCTGGCCTCACGGGGCCTGGCTACGTCTG